AAGCTACAATGTAAACATAGTGCTTGAAATACCCCTGGTGACAGCAGTTATTAACTTAGGAGCAACCTAAGAAAGATATCATCAGAATCCTAAAGGGTAAGTATTTTTCTAACTCCTTTGCAGCCTCTGCTAGATGAGACTTGAGACTGTCACTCATTTCCCCACACAGTCAAACATGATTGAGTACCTACTCCATGTAAGTCTCTACTCATTGCCAACAACGTCAGAGCACCATCAGGCCCTTCTCTCAGTCACCTACTAGTTCAAAGGGGGATAACTGTGGTCAGCCAAATTCCATTCATTGCACAGCGCTGGCTCTGATGACTAAGGTGGCCCACCAGGCACTCACATTCCATTTTCCTCCTCCTCCTGCACAAGGTCTCTTTTCCCCCATACTTACTGAAAAATCATATTTTGACATTTCCCCCTGTAAGGGAAGTGTCTCAAGCCAGGCAAGAGGCCAAAGGAAGCAGGAGATCAACAGGTGAGTCAAAGCACCAAGCTTCAGGTGTACCTAGCCTTGGATAAAGCCCTGGCCTTCAGGCATGGTTTCCTGTCTCAGTCTGTCTGACCTTGTTGCACATTTCTGGTCCTTCTGGGATGATTCAGGGCCCTCAGATCACCTAGTTCTTAAACACCCCCAGTGACAATAATGGATTTACAGTCCAAGGCAAAAGCAGTTCTCCTTTCTGCCCCCTGAGCCTCCTTACCACTGTAACCACAACCCAGCCCCCTTCCCTTAAGTCCAACACAATTGTAGAAGCCACTTCCTGACATTCCTTCTTCGTCCACTCCAAAGCAAGCTCCAACCACTGCATTTCTGCAATCATTAAATCAGGCCTCCCAATTAAGGAGTTTGCAACTTCTGCTCACCTTGGAAATCACTGCAAGATCTGAGAGGCAAATCACACCCTGTAACCGGAGTCGTCAAAGCAAACAGTGTCTGCTCTCCCCACCCCCTCCCTGAAGCCAGCAGTGACCAGGAGCAATTAGTGCTGTTCTGCCTTTCCCAGCTACATCTCGACCGAGATGGCTCCCCTTGTAATATTAATTAAACACACATTCTTTTTGGCAGACCCCTGAAGAACGGCTTCTGTGGCAGGCTTCTTTATTAAGCCTCCAAGAAGGCAAAATGCATTAAGATATTGTGACACAGGGACTGTGAGCAGATATGATGAAAACTAGACAATCCAGCCAAAAGCTATTTGAAAAATCTGTTTGGGAGCCACAATTAGATGCTCCAGTGAGTGAAATACAATTAATCTGATCAAATCTGTCACTATTTTGCACATTAGGAGTAAATATTTTAGAACACAGTTCAGCTGCATTAGTTAAGGGTATGAAATCCCACCTGGGAGAATCTGCGTGCTCTACCTCCTAGTGTGCTCAGGGAAGGGTGACCTGGATTATCAGCATCTCCCCATTTCTCTTCATCAGGGTGCACTGTTGGGCCCATTAGATGAAAACTGTTGGGCAAGTCATTCCAACCAGACACACTGCAGGGGCAGCAGCCTGCAAATTGCTGTCTCTGGGAGTGAGCTGCTGGAAAGCAATGGAGACCCCTCCTAGGAGGATGCAGCACTCTCACCTCAACACCGGGATTGAGGGATCCCAATCAGCAGTTACTCCAAGAAGGAGGAGGCAGGGAAATTGGGCTGTTGCCTTCACACCTTCCCACTCTCCAGAGCCATTTGCCAACTCACTGACCAGGCAGGGAGGCGTCTTCCTTCATTTGAGGCAGAAAGGCAGAATGATGTGTTTTTCTGTTCCCCTGTCAGCCATGGAGACCGGATTCCCTCTGGGTGTTTGTGAAACATTCTCTAACCCATTAATCACCAGCTGAAGACAACCAGAGAGAAAGAATGGCAAATCGACCCCCTAGAGTAGAGGCTCCAAGCCCAAGTCCATTCATGCATCCTCTAGAACAACTGGCAGGGCAAGAATGGTCAGAAGGGGACCCAGACTCCATCCTCTCCCAATACCTTCTGGCTCAAGCCTACTGGGCACCTCCTCCTTTGCCCCCTAAGCCATCCCACCCCACTCCTGGGACCAAAGTGAATGCGTGACCCGAGCCTAAGACAAGGATCTCCTTCTGCCCCCTGAGGCCCTGGGCTACTCGGGATGCGTGGGCTGGGGTGGAGGTGTTTCTCTCTCGCATGTCTACCTCCACATGCCTGACTGCAAACTGTCAGCGTAGAGTTCAATTTCCAGTTATATGGAGTGACTGAAGACTCCCCCAAAAGGAATCCATGGGAAGTAATAAGGTCCACCAAAGGCACTTTGAAGGAGAGCAGGAACCCCACAACATGTCAATTAACCTGGTGGCCTTCCCGGAGCAGACCATGCCTTAATACTTTTGAAGTCAGAGGAGAAGATGGAATTCTCTTTTCCTGTCAAAAGAGCCTGGTGCTAGGACCCATGTTCTCTGCCTTGGGGACATCTCTCCACTTTGACACCAGTGATGAAGGGATCTTTCAGAAGGTTCATCGCCCTTATCATTCCTCACCTGGGTTTTATTTACAGCACCTTCTTTTGCTGCCCTCAGGACAAAGGGAGGGGAGAAAGAAATCACTGGGTAATATAGCAGAAACTGGGTTCCCAGTTACTTTCCCAGGGGTTGTTTCCTTAAAGTCCCTCAAAGACAGGGTCATGGTAACATGTTTCTCCATCTTCCCTCAGAGCAGCATAGACGTGATACTCAACAAAGCCTTTTTCACTGGTACTGCATGCAAAGCGTGGTCAACAAAGGCAGGTCCAGCCCAGGAGCTAAAGAGGCATTCCCTCTCTGGACCAGACAAAGAGGACACAGTGGGGTCCCTGCACCCACCTGTGCCGCCTTGTCCTTTGATTGGACAGTAAGACTGGCCACCGCACAACCCCTAAACCCCTAGGGGACCGTCTGCGGATTGTCCAGCTCTCATCACTGTTACTAAGGACTCCAAGGCCAACCGGTCCAGTCCCCAGGCCCCTTGGGTCCTCTTTTCACTGAAGAGCCATTTCCCCAGGAGCACTTGCTAGTCTTGACCCCTCGCTTCCCCTGCTGCACAACTGCATGGAAGGTGAGCAGGGAAAGCCAAGCTCATTTAACTACTACTGGCAAAAAGCATTCTCTCAAGTCTCATCTTCAGGGGCTTTGTCAACAAAAAGGACCTTTAAAATAAAAGCAGAGAGGTAAGGACTTTTTAGGCAGAGTGATTTTATATTGCCCAAATGTGGCAGTAATAAAGTTACAGGTAGTGAGGACATCATCTCCTCTTCCTAGGACATGTACTTCAACACATCCTGTCCATCCTCTTCACCAAGGACACAGGAAGCAACACACACACACACACACACACACACACACACACACACACAGCCTCTGAGAACTTGCAAGCCTTCGATCGCCTATCCCTGCAAAGGCACACGCTTAGCCACCCCCCACGCCCAGCGCTGTCCACTCCAAAGCTATAGGGTCTTCATTAGAAGCAGATGAAGCAGCCACAGCGCTGGCTGCAGGGAGCTGGACTACACAAGTCCTTCCCACCCAGAACCCCTTACCCAGGCTGGGCTGCCCACACTGTGTGTCATTAATAGAAAATCTGTACTCAGGATTGCTGATGTGCTGTGCTCTGCGGACTCCTAGCTTTTCTGTTATTCACTACTCGCCCCTGTGACAGCCCCAGGTCCCTGTTAAAATAAGGAGAAAATTTCCCCGGGGGAAATCTTTCATGCCAGTCATGAAGAGATATACAAAGGGAGGAGAGCGGTACTTTCCCATCGAATGAGTTCCCCAAAGCTGCCTGTGCAGACATCCATCATCCTTTTGCCCAACGCCAGGTTCGCATCCGAACCGGAGAGCCAGAGAAGAGAAAAGGATTTTTGTGACACTGGCTGAAGTGGTGGCGGCGAAAGGGAGGGGAGTCGGGTAAATCGTGGGAGGCCACCCCCCTCCACCCTGGGGGCTCGTTCCTAGGTTTGGCTGCACAGCACTCACTGGGTGCAGGCGGAGTGGGAAAGGACCCCTCCTGGCAAGCTCTTCCGACTGCCTTGGCTGACAGGGCCCCCGGACGGTGCTCGGTGCTCCGAGTGGGTCGCTGGATCGAGAGAGCGGAGGTGGCCGAGTGGGCTCAAGGGCGCCACCTCTTGGTACAGCCGCTTCCAGGAGAACCTGGATGCGGAGAGGAAGGGGTGGGAGAGGTGCACCCAAAACACAAGGACCCAACTCCACTCTGGGAGCTGATTGTGGTGCAGGACACAGCAGCGGCCAAGGCGAGTTTTGTGCTCAGCGACTTATGTGCGCCTGTGCATGCATCAGGGCGACGGGTTGCGGAATGGGTGCTGAATTTCACTTCACTGCTTTAAACTTAGTTTACTGCCTCTCCTGTAGCTTTCCAGGGCAAGCTGCCTGGGTTCTGAACAGAGGACCAGTGTTACCTGGAGGCCAGGCTTGAGCCGACTTGGTCCAGCCTCCAGCCAGGGCTGGAAGAAAGTTCGCCTGGAGCAGAGAGCAGCAACCCTGAGGCAAGGAGGGGGAAGTCTGAGTCGCCTCATCTGCCGGGTTCTTTCCCACGTGAATGGAGGGGTGAAGGGGGAAGCCCCAACAGTCTCAGGAATCCGTCAAGTCTGTCCAGCTGCTCCCTCCCCAAATCAGTCACTGACCTCACCCAGGAATTCAAGCGCCCAATGGGAAAACTGACTCTCCAAGCCGAGTACCAGAGAAAGTGACCCCAGATGCCTCTCCTGCTCATCTTTAAGCTCCCCCTTCCTCCTATCCCCTCTCGGCGGCCCCAGTCCTAGGGTCTCCAGTAAACAAACGCACACTGTTACAACAAACTCCCGCTAACCTGTTGGGGGCGTAGGGGGAGCCGGAGGAACCTGTTCTCTCTAAAAGTCAGTGCACACCGGCCCCCACCTCCCGCCTGGACCCTCGAGCAACTATCTGTCCCTCCTTCCTGCCCCCCACTCCCCCTTGCTGTCTGGAGACAGTGACATCCACCGCCCGCAGAGTGGGTACTCACGCTGCTGTTGTGTCCCGACCAGTGCACCATGGCTTGGTTGTGGGCCGAGTCCCCAGTCAGTGCAAAGGAGGTACTGGGCAGCCGGAGCCCTTCGGCCGCCGCACCCCCGGCCCGCAGCGCCTTCATCTCCTCCCGGAGACCCTTGGCCAGAGGATGGCTTCCTGTGGAACCGTCGGCCAAGGCAGTGGCCCCGGTGTCCCAGCGTTCCAGGGCACTGGGGGGCTGCGCCCGGCGACTCCTCCTCCTCACACGGCCAGGTTTGCCAGGAGCTGGGATGCCCTGTCCCCACCGCGCGCCTGCTAACGACGGCTCCCCATCGTCTCCCTGCTTCTTTCCACCGCTGCCACCGCCAGGCTGGGGCAGCGGCTCTGGTCCTGGCTGGCGCCCCAGTGCGGCGCGTCTCCGAGCAGTCGCCTGCTCCTCCGGCCACCGGCTTGCCATTGCCCGCGGCAAGAGAGGAAGCAGCGCGGGCCGCGAAGCCGGGGCCGCCGGGCCCCCAGGACCGCCTGTCGCGCCCCAAGT